GAGGTCGTTCACATGGTTGCCTATGGCCATATAGGTGACTCCAAGTGTAGTCGCCAATTCGCGAGTGGTGGCGTTCGGCTTCGCGTTGAGGGCGTTCCGCAGGGCTTCGTCAGAAAGTGTTGCAAGACTTTCTTTCCAACCCAATAAGAAGATCCTATCAGATTGTTGGCCCTTCCTTTCAAATTGCAACTGGACTCATTGTGCAGATCGATTGGAAGTTTGAAGGCGGTGTGACAGGTCATTCCACCGGGCAATAGATTGCTGCGATTCCCGTCCAGGCAACTGACAGCACCTTCAGATCCATACCGCGCAGTACATTAATTACCGTATCGTACAGGAAGGCTTTACCAGTGCCGCCAGGGCCATCAATACAAAAATAGCGCTGCGCACCTCCTCGCAGGACTGTCACCAATATTTGGTCAGCCGTTTGGCGCCGACGCTCATTTGGCATCGCCATAATATCATGGCCGTGGTTCCGCTCTTCAATCAACTCGTATTTCACCGCGCGAACAATGGGCTCGGCATCTGGAGGCATAGGCAGTCCCTTCTCGGCGCAAGAGGTCCCACCAGCTTCGAGCATCTTTCCTATCTCACTCGACGCCAACGCATTCTCCACCTCTTCAGTATCACCACTCCAGACAGCGTCCTCAGTCGTCTCAGAGCGGTAGTCATTCCCAAGGCGCGAAGGATCGGCGGGGATACAGAGAATAAGAATCATAGCGTACAACCTTCGCAGCGCCATAGGGATCAAGTACAGTTCGCCGTCAACCATACATCGGTTCCATTCCTCGTCATCCTCGATGAGTCCAAACTCACGCTCCGCATCGCAAAATGTTGGAAACACTACTCCACTCACTGTACGCAAGCGCCGAAACGATTGCACGCTGGGCACACGCAGCAACAGTAGACGACGGTGGTATGACTCCACATTATTTGGTGATAAGGACATGATACGTCCTTTTGCTTTATCGCCACCCTGAACGCGCTCTTTCCAAGAGTTGAAAGCGAGCAATGCGTAGTGATTGAGCATGTCCTGATATTTGCGCAGGCGCATTCGTTTTGTACATTCAGGGAAAACCAAGCAGAGTTGTGTTTCTAGCACTTGCCCGATGCAATGCCTCCTTCTCTCGTCCATCCTCAAAAATTACGGATTGACCATCTGGCAAATGAACTGCCAGGACGACTTCGTCATGAGTAGTACTGTACATTGGGGTTTTCGAAGATAAAAAGTTTACCAACGATTTAATGGTCTAACCTATGGCACCGAATGGCAGAACATTGTAGGCCTGGCGCTTTAGGCCGTGGATGGTCTGGCCTATAGCCTAGAATGGCATGCCATCGTACGCCTCGCGCTTTAGTGGTGACAGCCACGACAACTTTCGGCCTCTTTTAAAATATTAGAATAACGGTCTGCGGCCGCTACGCTGGCCGTCTAATGGGCGCAAATTTGTCTATATAAAGATATGAAACGTTTCGATTCCAACTAAGCATTAATAATTACTTTTTTACCGGTGGCAAATGTGTTTATTGTGGCAACACCATTCGTTTCATCTGCGGCGAATGCCTCATCGCCGTCCTGTGCAACATCCACCACCGTTCCTTCTTCGCGTTCAACCACACCAATGCCTTGATCGTCACCGTCAATGTTGAAGGGAGGAGCGGCCAGTTCGCGCGACATGTGAAGTGAAACAAAGAGTTTGCGTTATTACTTTTGACTTCGTCAATCGTGAAAACTCAATAATAAAAAAATCAGCCAAGACATGAAGCGCAAACAGAAATACATTGCATGGTTGGGACGGCGCGAACTGTCATTCCTGAACCAAAAAAAATACTTCACAGTTAAATAATGCATTAAAAAATAATGTATTCAGGTGGAGAACCTGTAGTCGGTAGGTGAAAATGCGATACGTATTCACAATGAGCTGTGTCAATCAATAATCGGGCGCCACTAAGTATGAAGCCTATGCAGATAAGATGCCAAAGTCTATTGCCTAAAACGGCAGAGCCTTGCATGCCTGCCGCTTTAGGCCGTGAATGGCCTAGCCTTTGGCCTAGAATGGCATTGTCTGCAGTGGGCGTTCAAATTGGAGAAATTATGATATTCATTCCTGTTATGTGTCGAAATTGTAGGTGATGCGTACGATCGACTTGTGGCTGACGGTTTTTCGGTTGAATTTCTTCTTCAATTGTCAAGTGGTTTCCTATACGTTCTGACAGAATTCGAAGTAAAGCCGAATAATTGGTACAAGATATTCGATAGTCAAACGTTCCGTCATTTTTGTATAACTCATTTCAAATGGAATCGTTCACTTTGCAGACACAGTCCGTCCGACACACGACAGACAACGTGACTCAGCACCGCATACGTGTTTTCAAATGTGAACACCTTTTAACGAATCCCGAGAAAGAGAGAATTCAAATTACGTCTCTGGAAAAAGGATACCATCGATAACTCGACACTCTTTACTTGATGGAGAATTATCTGTTTTTTTTTTCGAATGGTGTAAAGCACGTCTCAATCAAATCTAGCATTACGAAATAATTATTTTTCAAAAGACGTGCAGGACTCTTTACATACCCTGTAGAAACTACCATCTGCAGGGTGAGTCTTCTAAACGTAGATTAAAAGTGTACCAAAGTTTTCATGTCCTAGCCCATGACTTAGAATGCATGACTTGAAGGCCTTACCTGATAGTCATCGGAGAAGAGACAACCATTCTCCACCGCTTTCGGCCTCTTTCAACTTATAAGCATAGGGCCCAGAATGTCAGAGTCTTATAGGCCCGGCGCTTTGGACCGTGAATGGCCTGGCCATGCCACGAAAATGGCATAGCATCATCAGCTTCGCATGGTAAGAGTGATAGCAGCCGAAACTTTCTGACTCTTTCAATTTAAGTATTATACATTTATTAGATAGGGTAAAGGCACCAGTATGTGGACGGGTTAAAGATTTTTTACTCTTGAAAATTTCATTACGGTCGTTGTGGTAACTGAGAAACCGCTTAATTGGTTTCGATGGGAGACCTCTTATCTTAGTTTGATGTCCATACTCTAAAATAAATATTTAAAGTACACTTTCCTAACAATGGTTGTTTAATGGATGTGTTGATTTTCATGCGGTTCCTATTTGTGGAAATCCTGGTTCCAATTTGTGGACATCCACGGACTCTGTGGACACCAGTTTTGTCAACAATTATGAACTTGCGTAGGCCGATTAGAAAAATAAGGGCATGATATATGTGCTGCAATTTTATTCAACTTTAATGATATCCTATTAAGAAATATCACTTTAAAAATTAGGGATTCAGGTGTGCTAAGTCTAAAACTAAGCGAAAATCTCCAAATTCATACTTATTATGGTGGCCGACAGGCATGTGCAAAATATGGAGCATTTTAGGAAATACATTTTCGGCGAGAATTTTGTGAAATGGAAAAAAAACGCAATATTGTGAACAAATAGGAACCCGTCCATAAACTGGTGCCTCTACCATATTTACTTTTATCTTCATGCAGGTCCCTTGGGGAAATCTGGCATTTCAGTCATTTCTGCTTCAGGAATTTCGTTTGTGGCTTTACTTGTGTGCTCCATTTCCTACTACCGCTTCAGAAAGGAAAAAGTGAGTCACGCATTCAAGCATCGTCTCTAGCTTCAATTGGAATGCACTTCTTAACGTGAACTTTTCAGGCCCAAAACATCGCGTTGAACGACAAGGATACAAAAGAATTCCTGGAAGGACAGCCCGGGAGTTTGAATTCAGCAATGGGGCTCAGTGAACAAGCACATCTTCTCCCCTTTGACGTGCAATGGGACTTCCCACCAGAGAAGCTGAAACTCGGTAAGAACCAAGGCTCCATATCAGGAGGAGCTGCTCAGGCCGATAATCATTGAATGTGTCATTCCGACAGGGAAGTTGCTCGGCAGCGGCGAATTCGGGTACGTACTAAAGGCCGTGGCTGTTGGAATCCGTCCCCCGGAGCCGGAAACGACCGTTGCTGTGAAGAAAAGGAAGCCTCATTCCAGCCTGGAGAATTACCAGACATTGATGATGGAGGTAAAGATCATGAGCCACCTCGGAATGCATTTGAATGTCGTGAGCTTCCTAGGAGCCTGTACCAAAAACCTGGCACATGGTGAGAACCTCCATCATATTGGGCTGGGTCAGTCGGTAGCATGCAAGTTCGGAATTTGTTTGCCTGAAGGGCAAACAAACTGGCTAGTAATATATATTTTCTGAATGATTCGTTGAATATATATCGTTGAATTACTTTTCCGACGGTTGCGCTGCGCAGTACGAATATCGAAAGAATTTTGTAAACATTGCTTGGCACCAATAATACTATTTAATGTCTGCGGAATGGGATTGTTTTTGGAATTTCAAACGGTAAGGGAAGTGTGTCGGATTAGGAGGAACATTGAAGCGACTTGGCACAAAGGTAATTCTGCAGAGACAAAGCAGTGACCAGGTAGCGTTCCCATTTTCAGCCGTATACTTGAGCAACGAACAATATTGATGTGATTGTCTTCGTCTTCTACTTGAGAAAATAATTACCCACTCACGCTCATCTGCCACGAGAGCGCTTCAGCGCGGCAATACTAGCAGCAGGTACTCAAGCATCGCGTCCTTTTCAAGCGTCTGACCGACCAAGTACCTACTCGTGAAAGTACATTCCTGGGCAGAAAAGGGGAAATCAAAGTTCTGAAACGTAAGACAAAGTTCTTGCTTTGTGAGCTGATGTAGCGGTAATTCGAAACGATTAGGAAAGGTAACTGGTGATAAAATGAAGCGCAGGGACGACCACATTGCTTTGATGTTTTCATGCCAGTACATGTTATAGAGGTTATGCACTAAAATGCTCTTATCTCTGTTGATATATGAAAATCCAGAACGAAATTAGCGGTGTACATAAAGGAGATTGACAAATGATGTCCTAAATTTATTAGCAAAATCAAGTGTGTTAACATAGGTTCAAGTCAAGTCAAGTTTCAAGTTCATTAAAAAACATGTAGGCCAAGGTCACTGCTTTCATCACCATGTGTTATATGTAATACTAGCGAGTTTGTTTGCCCATCGGGCAAACAGGAAAAAAAGTTTCCTGTTTTTTTTTTAACGGGAATTTTTTTAAAGTCTGAAATATAGACTCAGGGAACTCCATGCCACGCAGTTTCTGCCTTATACGTTTCCCCTTTATGCTGGCGGAAAAAAATATATACAGGGTATTTGGAAAAGCAACCCACCCAAAAGCTGTGCTCTGGGGATATACTCAGCAAAAGTTGAATTTTTCCTTAAATCAACATCACGTCCGTTACGCGTGCGCGAGCTGCTACTTTTCTATTTTTGCCCGATTCGCTAGGATATTAAATACTCTTTGAAAACGTTACGTCAGCAAGAAATATGACCCTCAAAAATATTTTGGAAATTTGACATTTGACGTTTGACCTGAGTGCTTCACCAGTCACGTTCTTGCCATGTTACAAGTTTCCATGGGTCTCCGTTTGATTGAGGCAAAGAGAGCTATTTGAAAATATGTTCCCCGAAAGGGTGTGCCCCTATGACGTGTATCACCAAAGTGGAATTTTTCCTGAACTCTGCATGTGAATAGCTGCTTATGTCAGTCAGTCAGCTACTCACGATCGTCTATATTTAATATGAAAGTAGAATTGTTTCTTTACTCAGCTATTCATCAGGTACTTCTTTGCCAAGGTTAAACTTTCTAGCACCCTCCGTTTTGCTGGATCAGAAAATTCAGGAAAATATGCAAAATATGTGCCCTCGGGCGTTTTAACCGAAAAGAACCATTTCTACCGAAATCAAACCTCAGTGAACTACATGCCCACAAAGTTTCAATATTACACGTTTGCCTTTTTCGCTGTTGAAAAATCATGTTTGGAAAAGCCGAACCGCCCAAAAGCAATGCCCGCAGGGGATGCACCATGAAAGCTGAATACTCCCTCAGCTCAATAATATTACGTCACTTATACGTGTGCCAAGTTTCACCTTTCCATTTCTGTCTTCTTCCAATTCCCAAGGACAATTTTTTTTTTAACATCGCCCCTCAGGAAAGTTTCCTCTCGGGGATGTATCAAGACTTAACATTTTTCTTTAACTCCTTATCTTCGTAGTCACATTCATACAAAGTTCCCGCTTTCCATGTCCATCGGGTTAATTAATGCAAAAAAATTGTGTGAAAAGATCTCCCTTTGAAATTCATGCCCACAGGGCATTTCATTCCAAAGTCTGAATTTTTCAGCACTCAGCATCCCAGTAGGTAATTATGTACAAAGTTTCATCTTTCCACACTAGCTTAATACACCATAACAAAAAAAACACTTGAAAACGTTGGCCCCCAAAGAAATGCCCCCAGGGCATGGATCTAAACTTTTGCATTTTTCCTGAACTCATCGTATCGGTAGACACATCCATGCCAATATTTCAGCTTTCCATGTCTCTCCGTTTTATTCAAGCCACGGGACATGGGAGGCAAGAATAAAAGCCAAAGAAAATCTTGGAATGGCCGGGAATTGAACCAGGGTCTCGCGATTACCGGTTGGATGTGCTACAACTACACCACCAAAACGGTGCCGTAGAGGGATGTTTCTCAATGACATCTTTATCCATCAATGTATATATTTTAAAAAAACTTCTCCCCCCAAAATGTGTACCCCTAGGGCATGTACCTCCAAAGTAGGATTTTTCTGAACTCTGCAACCCAAAAGGTACATGTGTACCAAGTTTCAGATTTCTAAACTTTCTGGAATATAGTTAGAATTAGCGTCAGTCAGTCAGTCAGTCAGTCACGATCGTCTATATATTGATATATTAGATATATATATATACACTATTATAACATACACTAATATACACATGCATTCTCTCCAATTTTATTCCAACATTCATATGTTTACCAAAGATTCACATCCACTCATTGCAACACCACTCGTTGCTGCTGGACACTTTGTTGGTCTCCATCCTGGACGTGAGTAGCTTGAAGTCTGGCTGATATGATGTCAGGGCAGTATGGAAAAGCTCCGTGAAGTGTTGCTCTGTAAGGAACTACGGCGTTTCGATTTGACGAACTTGACCATGGAGAAGAGCGACTCGCAACAGTATGTTGTACCAACTATTGATATGAAGCGCCCACTAGTCTTTTTGAGTTGTGGATGCTTCGATCCTGGCACTTTTTTCCAGATCTCGATTGTAAACTCTGATTTAAGCGCCATCATAATGTGGTTCGGGAAGGAAAATCGATGGGTCTGGGATTGAAAATGTTATCCATAATTCTCATGTAGGGGGTCTCACAAAACCCAGAAAGCACTTTCTTACCTCCCTATCACTTTTACTTAGGCCATAAGTCTTGTTCAAAGTTTCCGGTAGATGACAATCGAAGAGCAATGTTTGAAGGCAGCATAGCATCCGAATAACTGGACGGATCTCCTTGAAACTTCTATCGTTATAAAGCCCGGAAAGTTCTCTACAACATGGAGTCAAGCTGAACGGCGAGGCTCTCACGTCAAAGGTCAGGCGAATTTATTTTTTTTCGAGCTATGGATGTTCATCAATTAGTTTTTCCGCCGTTGTTTCGAGAAGAGGTTCATTTCAGAGAAAAGCATACATCAGATTTTGGGCAACACCCATCTCCATCCCCACGCCAAGTTTCGTGAGAATCGTTCAAGCCGTTTTTCTGTAAAGTACTCGAATATCCCCGGAAATTGACACTTTTTCGGTCCGTTCTTCACTTCCTGGCGTTTTACTCTTGTTCAGGGGCGAAAATGCAAAAAGTAATCAGAGCAATTTATAGAGGAGATTCTCCCGAGTGAATAGCGATAAGAATTACCATTGTCAGTACTTGGTACGGCGAGAAAACAACGTTTCAAACATAGCATCTCATTTGGATTGGGCATTGGCATTGGGCATACTAATGAATTCGAAGTTAAAATCCCTTCTTTTATCGTATATGTATGTGATGAAAGAATCTGTCCCATTCTGCACAGAAATATTCAAATCCAGATAATGGGCATATTTGTATAGGTAGGAGACAATTTCTTCTAATTCGAGACAGTCATGATATATTTAATGAAGATCTCTTCTTATTGCGGGAGATCATTTACATACTGGAGAAAGAGGATGGGAGCAAGAACTGAACCTTGGGGGACTGCTGCAGAGATTGAAAATGTTTGAGAGGTTGCACCTTCTACTCTTACTTTAAGAGTGCGGTCACTAAGGTATGATTCAACTAAAGCAACCAGGTCAACGGGGGTTATAGCTAAATCTGAGTTTGTAGAGTAACCGCCTATGCCAAACTCTATCGAATGCCTTCTCTACATCAAAGAAAAGTGCAAGTAATGGGACGTGCTTATTTGCGGCATTCAATATGTCATTTTGCAGACAGACCAACTGGTCTGAGGTACACTTGCCGTGACGGAAGCCGGCCTGCGCTGCGTGGAGGATGCCGTTACTCTCTAGAAAAGATGCTACCGTGTCAGTTTTTATTCTTTCTAGGGTCTTGCCCAGGACACTGAGTAGGCTAATGGGCCGGTAGGAAGAGGGTTTACTTAAATCTTTGTCCTGCTTAGGGATCATTGCTACAAAAGCTTCCTTCCAGGCTGGAGGAAAGTATCTGTACTTGAGGCAAGATTCATGAAGTTCAGCAAGGAGTTCAAAAAGTTTAAAGGTGCCTTGCTCTAGAGCTTTATTATAGATCTTGTCAGGGCCAGGGGTTTATTAGGTAGAGGAAGAACGGTTTTGATTATTTCTTCTACAATTATGAGACTTAGAACTTCATGGGGAGGTTCATTGTTCACTACTTTGGAGGGCGAGTAAGAGCTAATAAGAAGGTCTAATTCCTGCTCCTCCTTTGGGGCTTCAGGGGAGAGACTATAGGGGGGGCAAGACATGGTTGCTCCCAGGGAGGCTGCGAAAACATCAGCTTTTCCCTGTGGGGTTGTGGATGTAATATTTTCATGGAGGAGAGGCATAGAATACTTGTTATTGGGTATATCTATCCTTTTAAATAATTTCCAAAAGCTTTTAGGGTCTGTCTCTTCATCTAGGGAGTTACAGTAGTTATCCCAGTAATTGTCAGAGTCTAGTTTGAGCTGCAAAGAGATTTCCTGATTAAGTTTAATAAGAGCTTTCTTGAGACATGGGGCTTTAGTTAGATGATATTTTCGCCTGGTGGCCCTGCGTTTCTTAATTAAGGAAAGGGTGGTTTGGGAGATGAAGTAGGGTCTAGAGGTTTTGGCAGTTAGGATGGGGATGGCATCATCTTGGGCTATCTGGATAGCCTCAGTGATGACTTGGGCTGCCTTGGGGATGTCGTCAGTCGAGGATCTGGAGAGGGAGTCAGGGAGGCAAGTGTCCAGGGTGAGTTGGAAACGATCCCAGTCGGCCCTAGGGAAGTCAGGAGTTGTCCGGGGAGTTCGGGGGGTTTCCTGCAGAAGGAAGTTGACCGTCACGATGATGGGTAGGTGGTCCGAGCCCAGATCCTTGCCTACAGAGCAGTCTTTGATGTAGGGGAGGATGGTGGAGTTGGCTAGGGTCAAGTGAAGTCTGCAGGGGGATGAGTCTAGGGAGAAGCTGCTGTGAGTTGGGTCAGGACTGCTTGGTGGCCTTGGTGGAGGGAAAAGTCAGAGTTGTCCAGGAAGGAAGAGATGAGTCGTCCGTGGGTGTTAGTAAAGTCTCTAAAGGAAAGTAAGGGGCTTTGTGCATTCAAGTCTCCTATGAGGAGCGTTGAGTCCTGGGGGTGGGCAGGGAGGAGGTCAATGTCAGTTTGAGTCATGGATACAGGGAGACAATAGAGGTGAAAGATGTTAAACACTTTGTCTGTTAATGTTATTTTTGCACCAATTATATCTATGTTAAAAGGTTGGAAGGGAGTTATGTCCTCGGCATCAAGACTGTCAGAAATGAAAATGGCAGAGCCTCCACTGTACGGCCTGCTGGGATGGTGAGGTTTGAAGGAGTAGAATCCTTTAATGCGAGGTGGAAGTTTACGCTTTAGCTCACTCATACGTATAATGTGAGGTCTGACCTCTTCAATGTAGTTAAAAAAACACTCTGCTTTCTTGGCATTGAAACCATTGTTAATATGGAGGATGGTCAGGGAACGAGCAGGAGAAACTTTCATGATGGAGGAGAAAAGAAGAATTCTGTTAAGACAAGAATGAGGCGGCTCCCTGCAACACGGAAGTCCCACTGACACTCACACAATATCCTGAAGCACTTAGACGCTATGTCTAGGATAATGGAGAGGTTCTTGGAGACGGGTTCGGGATGAGGGATTGGGGTACTAGTCAGGGTGGGATTGGTGGGGGGGGGAAGGGTTTGCGGGTTGGGGGAGAGGGTTTGACAAGTTGGGAGCTGGAAGGTTGTGACTACTGGATTGGGTGTGGGTTGGGGATGCTGGGGGTGCAGGAGGTGCAGGAGCAGGTAAAAGGATTGGGGTCTGGGGGGTTGTGGGGGATCTGCATTGGCTGGGGGTGCTATAGGAGCTGGGTTGGAGGTTGGCCTGGGGTGACCTGCTGCTGTAGCTGCGTACGATACAGCAAGGTTGGAGCCTGGAAATTTGCCTGCCAGGTACCACATGTGGGTGGATCTTTTGGGCCACACGCGATAGTCGGCGCGATGGTTTCCCTTGCAAGCTATGCATTTTCTTGGTCCCGTGCGGTTGGGACAGGTTGAGGCTGGGTGTTCTCCTGCGCAAACTACACAACTGATCTTTCTGGTGCATTTGGCCTTGGAGTGGCCGTACTGGTGGCAACGAAGGCACTGTATCATACGCGGCCTGACCTGGAATGGTTCGGCTATATATTTGAAAGGGCCTATCAGAAGGTGGCCATCTTTCTCGAGTTTGGGAGACATATGGTCAGCCTTAATCTCGAGTAAGAGGCAGTTGAGGGTCTCTCCTGTGGAGGTTTTCCTCATCCAGATGAACCTTGTGACCTCAAAGCCAAGCTCTTTCAGCTCGACTGATAGGTCCTCCGGGTCGTTCTCTCGGCTCACCCCCTTGACCACGAACTTTCGTGTGTCAGAGATGGTGAGGGATCCTGGTGGCTTTGCCAGGCCCCCGAGTCTTTCGGCTGGCCACTCCTGGGGAACTGAGTTAGCGTTCCCAGCAGTGGCGAACCCTAACACAAACCCCCCCCTCGATCTGCGCAACTCAGTTGGGGAGAACTTAAAGTGCTCCTTGAAAGCACGTTGGAATTTTAAGGGAGCAAGGTAGTGGTCCTTTAGGCCCTGTACGATGATGAGAAGGTCGTACTTGGGAGGGTGGGCCGGTTGGGATGGGGGTTGGCAGGTCTTGGGAGATTTAGGTGGTTTTTGGGAAACAAGGGTGAATTCCCCATCTTCAGCATTGTCAACTTCAGAGGGGATTTCTATTAGGCGGCCTAGATGGATTACCGCGCGTTCAAAGCTCGAGTTTGGGGAGCAGGTAGAGCCTGTAGTGGAGGATGGGCTATGTGAGGGTGAGGGATTTTCAAGGGAGTGGACATTTGACTGGGAGTTGGGAGAGCAGGTTGGGGGCAAAGGAGATGAAGCCGGAAGGGGAGGTATTTGGACTTGGTGTTTGGTTGAAGTGATGACACTTCGGGTGCGTGGGGAAATGGAAGTGCGGGGGGGGAGAGGGATACCGGAGCTCCTCAGGAGATGAGGAGACATCCGGGATTTTCGGGATGGAGCTGGCAGGGTAATGCAGGAAGTGGGGGTGAGAGTACACAAACGCTAACTACAAATGGGGGTGTAAGCCTAGGCTAGGCGAGGAAAAATGAAAAGATGAAAAAGAAAGAGATTGATTACAGGTGTCTAAGAGACTGAAGGATAATGATTAATATTGAAACTGATAGGCCTAGGCAAGGGCTACGCACGCGGGCGCATGGCGGCCGCCATGTTGGGAGAGCAGCAGCGTACCTAGATCCGCAGGGGGAGGAATACACACTCTAAAGACGCTATACTTCAAAATGGCCAGCGGTGTGCCTAGAGGCGCAAGAATACCGACGCTCTAATATTAATCAGAGAAAAACGAATCGTCTACAATGATGCAGTAAAAAATAATGATATGAGTGCTAGGGATTAGGTTACACAAGCATGGAGTATAGTCCAAATGGAGTTGTCAGGGAGCCTTAGCCGTTTTTGAAGAAGGGGTCCTGGTGCAGCATATCCGCAATTATCCGCAATTGTGGCCACAGATCGCTAGTAACTCTAGATTCCATGTACGAAAATAATTCATTCCATTCGGCATTGAAGTTACCTAGGCTAAGCAATATATTTATTTTGTCTCTATGTTTGAATATTCATTAAACATTAACCAATTTAAGAAAATATATGTCCCATGAATATATCAATACTCATGATGTGGAATTCCTTAACTTGTCATATGAAGGGTCAATAAATACCTTTGAAGGAAAATTTGAATGCCTCGCTCCAAAATAAACCTGAAGCGACAGATATGGGAAAACAACGAAACTGGAACGCTTCGGGAATGTGCAACTTGACTGGAACGCTTAACCTAAAGGTATCGAGTGCTTGTTCGCCGTCCTTTTCTGTGATTGAATTATCTTGCTGTAGTTTCCCTGTTATGTCGAAAATGCCATGGTTTTGATTTCCCATGATATTTAGATTGTGAGAAGTACGAGTGCCAAATCTGAGCGCGCTCAGATTTTCTATATTAAACAATCGAGTTTCAGTTGTAGAGTGTATTCAGGAAAATTGTTCCACCTGTTATGAAATAAAAAAAGAAGGAAAAGGAGTATGCTGCTGGGATCACCATATTTTTACGCCCTTCCGTTCGCAGAAATAGTTATATTCGCGATGGGGTGATGTGTTTATGAAGGAAACTTCCTCGGAATCGTAGCTTTTCGTGCATCATCGTACAGATATTAACAGGGAAATCCGAACTCACCGGTGATGAAAGAGAGATGTCCGTCGCTGGGGATCAAGTAAGTCGAACTCTTATTAAGGAATTTGCAGGATTGACTGTCTTTGTCATAATTAAATCCCCAGCAATTCTCGAATCGGAGACGTTGACAGAGGATAGCACAGAGACCCAGACTCTTTTCCTGATAGGATTCAGACACGTCAGCAAACATATTTTCTTGAACCACCAAGTGGTAACTGGTGAAGTTTCCAACCATTTCCACTGAGTTTACGAAAGCGGATAGAAGGAAAATGTTGAGACGTGTCCATGCCATCATGCGAACACTCTTAGCTCTCCGTTCATACTGAATGAGAACCATATGGTAAGTCGGACATACAGCAAGCGTGTTGCCAGGATACGCAACAGGAAAATCGCATAAGCGAGAGATCAATGTTTATGCAGGGGTTTTCTCAGAGTAGGTACCGGAATGAGGTTTCCAATTTATCTCATTACAGAGGCTTTCGAACTCCTCCGCGCGAACTGTAAGCTAGTTTGGGTTGATGGGGGTAATTGAATCCCTTGAATGCATTCCCTTTTCAACACTTTGCGTACCGCTGACGATCTCCGTTTTTGAATCCTTTCGCGAGTCAATTTTCCTCGCCTATGGCCGAAAAAGTCATAGCCTTGTAGCCATCGAGCTTTCCGCTAAGTTAACTGAGGCTTAGGCCAGAGCGGCGGATCGACAGGGTAAATTATCCCGTAAGCAATGTGGTAACACCCAGTCTCCCAGCCAATGAGACCAAAATGAACGATTTTGGTGGGTGCTATAAAAACCTAGTCATTCCGGTATTAGTTGTATACAAATGGGAAAAGTGCTTTTGGAAAGCCCATCATCTTAAGCCTCCAAAAAACACCTATTTTCCCTCTGTGATGCGAACCCTCCCTCACGAGCTCTATCATAACCCCGAGGTTGGCCGCAAGGCTGCGGCAAGCATACCACCAGGTTTTTCCGTCCTATTATCAAGCAAGCATAACTAGGAACAACTCGCGAAGCCTTTTCTAAATTCTTTATTCATCACATGTTGTTTCATTCGACCTATCTTGCTCCTGCCTCATACAGATGCTTAGTCACGTCGCCTCTGCTGGTGTTATGAGTGGATTCTAATCTTCCTGCGTCCCCCCCCCTCCCGACACTTCACTTCCCCAGCTTTTCCATCATGATCGCAACCGCACCTGCTACATCCAATGCAAGTGGCACATTTTGCCACCTTACGTAGCCATGTAAATTTGGTGTTGGACCGAGCTTCAGAGCTCATCTTTGTTCATTGTTCTGAAAAAAAAAGAAAACGAGCTGGAGCGGCAGACTTTTCACAGGCCACGAGAGGACTAGAGTAGGCATGAGTCCGCGTTCACGCGCCTTCACCCGCTTTGTCTGAGTTCCGAAATCGAGGGTAGTGTGTATACGTGCTACCCGGAAAGCCCATGATAATCAATAGAGGTGCGTCTCTGGGATCTCGCATTGATTATGACCAGTATACAGGCCACTTCTAGGTAAAATACTCATCGATCGGTAACACGTATTTCCTCGTCCACGTCACAGAGATGGTCTGTCTT